CGTCCAAAAATTCCAAACACGGTATATTATTTTGCAACAAGCTATATAAAAAGATATATTGGTCCACGTATCGGTTAATATATCGGCCATATCGGGGATTTATTACCCAAAATAGCCAAAAAGCGGTAAAGGATATTTAAAGACCATATCGGGTTGCGGCAAGCCCTGTAAAAGGATATATCGGAGGATATATCGGGTCATGTCAGAGATATTTAAAACAATGATGTGTATACACATGCATATATATGTATGTATATACACATGCATATATATGTATATATATACACATATATGTGTATCTATATACACATATATGTGTATGTACATATATATGTATGTATATATATACACATATATGTGTATCTATATACACATATATGTGTATGTATATACATATACACATATATATATGCATACACATATATGTGTATGTATATACATATACACATATATATATACATATATATATATATATATATATATATATATATATATAGACATATATATGTATGTATATATGTGTATGTATATGTATATACATATATATGTACACACACACACACCATACATACACACACACACACACACACACACACACCACATATATATATACAGTATATATATATATATTATATATATCTAGTAATATATATATGAGAAAATTGGTATCTTGGTACCGCACAAAAAGTTATCTTGTAGTGTAGTGGCACATCCACTCCATCATCAAATGGTTGATATCCATAAACTCCCTCACCCCATAGTGCATTGTGGTTCCCACTGTTGAATGTTATGAGGGGTATTATTCACCTCACTACAAGCAAAAATTTGTTTGGTACCCAGCATACCCATTCTTCTCTCTCTCTCTCTCTGTCTCTCCCTATATATATATACTATCGAATATATATATAGTATAAATTATATATATATATACTATATTATAATAAATATATAATATTCATACTCTCTTTAAAAGCACGAGTTTGGGAAAATCTTTTTATGATCAATATTACTCTTACTATTTTGAATATTTTATTTATTTCTTAATTTATTCTAATCATAATTATATCATATCCTAATCCTACGTGAACTATCTATAAGTTAACAATTTAAAAAAATAATATTAATAAAATATATAAAACATCTTTTTTATGGTATTAATTTGTAAAGATAAAGAAATTATACATAGCTAACGTATTATAATACATAAAGTATTACAAAAAAAACCTAAAAAATTTTAAAATTGCACAAAATACCCTGAAAAGTTTAAAATTATAAAAACTATCACGACGCCTAAAAACTTAAAACAACAAACATGAAATCAAGAAATTAACAATGAAGAATTTAAAATTTGTAGATAACATCTCATTATGTCAAACATTATAGAAACACTCTCAAAAGTTTAAATTACAAATAAGCACCTGAAATTTTAAAATTTCAAAACTTACAAACAACATAGATGAATTCAAGGGATTACCATAATACACCAGAAAATTTCTGACATTTTAAAATTTAAAACAACAAACATGAGATTAAGAAATAACAGCAGCCTTCGAAGAATTTAAAATTTTTAATTAACACCCTCAATATTCCCAAAATTATAGAAACTCCCTCTAAAGTTCAAATTATAAAAAACAACACTAAAATTATAAAAATTTTAAAATTTGCAAACAATAAAAGATGAATTCAAGAGATTACCCTCATGCACCTAAAATTTTAAAATTCACCGAAGTTAACCTCAAAGTTACAAAAGTTGTAGAAAAAACTCTTTCAAAATTTAAAAATTAAAAAAAACTCTAAAATTTTAAAATTTATAACCAGTACACATCAAATCTGAAAACTATTGGTAGACCGCTAAAATTTTTTTTTTTTTAAATTAATCTATAATTTTAACAATTATAAAAAATAACCTTAAAATTTTAGAATTGTAAGAAATATCGTGATATTTTAAAATTACCACCGACACATGAAACATAAAAGTTACAACTACCCAACTTTAAAGTAATTTTTAAAAAATGTTACCAAAGTTTTTGAAATTACAAATCACACCCTCAAATTTCCAAACCACAAAAAAGGATTGGAATTTTTAAACTTGGCAATGAAAAGTGTAATTGTTAGATATTCTTTCATTAAGATATATATATTTAATGTTTAATTTTGGGTTTACTATCCCTTTTTAGCATCTAAAGACAGTCTAAGTTAATACTCGTAAACAAAATCAATAAGAATTGATTAAAAATATCCGGTTAAGAAATAAAAATTTAAAAAATATTATAGCTTAAAAATTATCGTCACCATATAAATTAAAGCAACTGCATAAATTTTTACTAATAAGTTGGAGCAACAAAACATATTAGTAACATTAATTGATATATGTTTATATCCATAAAAATGATAAAAGACTATAATATAATAGCTAAGTATTAATTAATTATAATTTAGAAATATTAATATCTGATGTTAATAATATTTATAAGGTAAAAGAATACAATGAATTACGCATGGAGAAACTATCAGAATGTTCAGAGATATCATTCAAAAGAATCAAGCTATTTCCATTGCAAATGAAAAAATGACGAAAATAAATCTAAAATTCAGAAAACGTCCATGAATCATTTGAATTGGCATTAACATAAGGCATGTCTATTAAAGAAGTACCAACTGAGTTACTTTGAAGAATAATTTAATAACTTTATCCCAATCAAAGAAGAATTCTCTATGAAATATATAAGAAAAATTAGTAAGCAGTCATAAATTTCATACTTTGTTCTTTAAATACTAAAAAATTAAATATTAATATTATAATCTAAGGCAAATTAGTAACAAAAATGCAGGTATTTAGTTTATATTTTTGTGAAACATAACATGGATAGAGCAAATATAATATTATTGACGTAACAGAAACTCTTATTGGATGCACATTAGAAGAATTCATTGTAAAAAAAAGTAGCTCCTAATCTTATTTAAGCAATAAATTAGGAACACAAAGAATTTCATATGTATAAAATTAATATTTATTATCATTGGAAGAAAAAAAATCAAAATATGTATTTCAAGAAGTTTGTGTTGAACATCGAAAATACATTTAACTTTTTTGTGAAGTTAAACAACAAGATAAAAGATTAAGAAGCCCAGGAACGATAACAACACAAAAAGTACAACTCTAGCTTGATGTCACAATCAAGTAGATGATGAAGATACTACTCTAGAATTGCCCGAGAAAAAGATAAATGTGAGGAAGGATTGATATTAGCTCAGAAAAAAATAAAACAGAAGGAATAAAAGATAATATTTTCTGAATATTTTATAGAATAGTTTAATTATTTTGAGTGAATTTAGAAATCTTTAGAAGGGAATTTCATAAGCTTTTTTTAGTACTTTCATATGTTTGTGCAAATGTTTTTATCATAAAAGTGTTTACTAGAGTTAGAATTAATCTTTAATTTATACTTTTTTATAAAGTCTATCAATGATTAGGAACAAACTTTATATTTTCTTTTGTATCGTTTTAACATACTTTTAAGCAATTATTTTGCCTTATTGGTTTTAAATATTCACCTTCCTTGTATAACATTATTTTAATATTTTTCACTTTTACAACACTGTACTTTATCAAATAAAGCTTGGTTTCATGTCAGTCAAAATAATATGAAAATTCAAATTAGCTTCAAAATTATATTTGGTTTCTATCAATTCAAATATTAACATGAAAATTTAAATTGGATGTAGCTCATTTAAACAAACATCAAAGAAAATAATTAATCGCAATATTAAAGTTTAAAGACAAAAGTGAACATAGAACTGAGAAACAAATTTTAGTTAGAAAATAAGCTAAAAATACTTAATCATGATATTTAACCGCGTGAACCTAGTAAAATAAAAATAGTTTCTTTTATCCACTTAGTACTAATAAATACGAAAGTTGTTTTTATCATATTAGTCCTTTACTTTTTTAATATTTTATAGTTACTCTCTAAAATCATTGAAATTGATAGTAGCTCCCTAAATCTTACAAGTTATTTCCCTAAATCTTACAAGATATTTGAAAGTTAGTCCTCAAATCTTTGAACTTGCTATTAGGTCCCCAATTTGTATAAGTTATTTTAGATCAGTATCTATGAGTAGCAGTAGTGGGATATGACAATTTCAGGACCTAATGGAAATTTCAACGATTTGAGGGACTAATTTAAAAAGATTTAAGAGGGTTTAATATAAGAAAAACCAAGAATAAATAGGAGGTGTAGCTTAATTTGGCTAGTAATAGTTTGAAGAATGTGAACTGAGTGGATTAGGATTACGTTATATATTTAAGTTAAATATATTGTTGTATATTTAATATACTTAAGTTAAATATTTAATATAATTTTAGGGTATTTGAATTGAAATGTAATGTCGAAAAGAGTTAAGGGTATTTTTGTCTGTCAAAAGATTTTCCTGAACTCGTGCTTTTATAGGGAGTATGATTTTTCAGTGTTGATGTTTGATTGATTAGTTAGTTTATGGGCATTTGTTGTAACCGTAGTAAATTTATGTAGTTTCTTTGAATTTGTAGGTGTGCCATTCCAGCATGAGAATTCATTGCTGCATTTTGGTTGAAGTAAGAATCAACATGCTAACATCTCTTATCATGTTCACATGACTTATCATCTTGATCACAGATGTTTCAGGTCATTTTTAAGATGTACTACCAAACTAATGTCTTTGTCCAATGCTGGTCCCGACCAGCGGATATCAAAGCAAGCAATATATATCTCAATATTGGAAATTTAGAACAACCTAAAATTATCAATGAGCCTATTGTCCCATGCAACAAACCCTTTAAGTTGAAAGAACTCGAACTCATACTTTGTCTTAGTGTGTGAACATTCAAGAATTTGGTAATACTTGCAAAGTCAAGAATTGGACATGCAGAAAGTGGGAAAGGTTATTTCAGAAAGAATGAACTATTCTATTAACAAGCTAATTATACAGAAAAAAGCATAGGTTTTGAACAAATTGCATACCCATAAAATCCCTCAGTCGAATCACCTCCTGCATTGTTTAATATAGCATCTCCACCAGGGTGTTCAAATACGTATGGAGTAACATCATACACCTGCATAGAAACAAAATTATGACATAGAGCTGTATTCTCTCTTGACTTAGACAAAGTGGAACCAAGTCTACTTCATACATAAAATCAACTATAATACCTTGCCTTTGACAATTATCCAGCAATCATCTCTTGTATTATGCATAGAAACCTCTCCCTTTGTGTAAGTCTTTACTCCCTATATACCAGAAAACATAAAAAAGGAAAATATCGAAGTTTTGTCCCTGATTCTGTAGTTGTAAAAGAAGCTGTAATTTGACTTCGAATGATGGCTTCCTTTTATATCATCGGGAAGAAGCTTGTAGAACTAAGAAAAAAACTGTTTTCTACTGGACAACGCTTTCAGTTGATCGACAATAACAATTATTAAAGGAGTGTGAGAGCTAAAAAGTTATATTGTCCTGATATATAAGGAACTGCTTCAAATGTAACACCTTTAAAGGAACATCCTTAACCCTTTCAGAGACATATTAGGTATTAACCAAAACATCAGTGTAGTTTGGAAAAGACTACGATTAAACTATTAAATTATAATTGCAGATCAAAGATTTGTACCTCTGTACTGAGCTTTGTGTTGCTACTTGTAGTTGCACCTACAACTGAATAAAGTAGGTAAATGATAAAGCTATAGTACACTATTCTAACCGCATTAAGGATCTATTAGAAGCTCTACCTTTTTTCGATAATCTTGGGAAGAAAAGAAGTGATCCGAATAGGATTAAGGCAATAACCAACGCCATGGCAATCAACTCCATTTTTAAATAAGCACCTACTGGAATACAGTAGAGGAAAGATAAATAAATAAGTGACAAGAAAAAGTACAATAGGGAAAAACATAAGGTACTGATATTACAACATTAGTGATTTCTAATTTCTAAATGATGAAAAACGAATTACACAGGCAGCTTTTAAGGACAGAACTATCTGGCTTCTCTTTCTTCAGCCATACAATTTAGTGTACCTTCTTCCAGTCATTGGTTCAAATTTTCAAGCAGATGTCACCAATTATCATATATCCACCAATCAAGTTCTCAAAATCATAAACTGTGTTTCTCCAATAAAAGGCCACCAATTAACCCCAAACCCAAAAAAATTCAACTAGAAAGAAGAGGAAGGAAGAAATAAGATATAGACAAGGAGAGAAGAGACAGTAACTTGGTGATGCGGGACACAAACAGATAGAAGCTGATGCGGGACACAAACAGATAGAAGCTGTCTTATTATACAGAAATTCGATACAAGAAGACCATGATTATAGCTGAGACCATGATATACCTGAGTCAATAACTCACTTTTCACATTTCACTCTGAATTCTAAAGTAGCACATTCATGGGCATGATCCTTCATATCCAGATTTGGTATCTGAGACCTGATTCATACCTAAGGTCATTTCTCTCAACTATATGGCAATTCGAATAAATATTCTCTCAGCTGCGCAGGCTTCTTTATTTCCAAAAGCTTAGCTCAAGATATTACATAATAGATTTTAGCGATACGAGATAATTAATTTATGCTTTAATATTTTTTTTTTCCAAACTTAATTAAGTTCTCAGCAATAATGCAGTTTAGAGTTCATTTTAAACCTACAATGATCAATGACAAGTTAAGCTATCTAGCGCTCTTGTTTATGAAACAACAATGAATCTAATTGACTATCATTTGCCAGCTATGGCAACAGGTTCTAAAGGTCTCTGTGTTTCAGGACACAAAATTTCCTAAAAATAAACAAGATACTAATTCCTGGTATGACCAGAATCATTAACTTACATATGAAATGGTTTTAGTTCAGCCAATCAGAAATTCTATTAACTTTATGAAGACTGAGTCAGAAATGATATAAAAAAGGACGGCTTTCAAAGAGATCTGACCTTCTTTAGATCATTTAGAAATGAATTACTGAATGTGAAACAGCTTAGGAGTTAGAAAGCATCAGAGGTAAAAAAAAGAAAGCTAAAAAACAATAAATCATGTCATGGAATTTATTTCGCATGCAAACGAGCAACTGATCAGGGCAATATAGATTTAACCGCATTGCCCATATATTTCACAGAGCAGGGGGGGAAAAGAAAAAGAAAAACCCCATAGTGTCCCCACATTACATCATCAAAGCTCAAATCTTTGCAAGTGAAAATCAACCCTAACAAATAAAATATGCTGAAACCCCAATAATCAAATTAATAACATAGATCCATACTCCCGAAAAGGAAAGCTGAAACAAAAAAAATGCAATAATGGTGGTCATTAATCAAACCACCTCTCAATTCTACCAATTCCTTCCAGGTTTTTTATTGCTTCAATTAATTCATACTCTTTCTTTCTATAGCTCACTAACCATCAATTTCCATAAGAGCTAGAGATCTAGAAAAGTTAAACATAGAATTAAAGGGGAAAAATTGAATTAAAGTAAACAGCAATCATACTGAGAGAAAGAGAGAATAGCTCACAGTATTCGATGATCTGATCAAAAAACGAAGAGAGATTATCGTCGGAGACTTGAGCAAGAGAGGGTTTAAGGCTTTTCTACCGTACAATTTGAGTTTTTTTTTTTTTTGGACGATTCAACTGCGACGAATGAAGATTTTGTCGAAATAAAATTCAGAGAGAGGGAACCTCGATGATGAGCTCCCCGCTATAGAACCTCAAGATCACGTGCACCATTTAATAATCAATTTTATAGGATTTGTTGAAATCGGGTTCTTAACCCGACCGGACCCGGTCTCAGAGCTTTCAGGAGGGTGTGATTGTAAAAGTAGAATATTCGAGGTTCTTTTTACAATTTATACCCTCTCCTCTTCTTCAAACCCTTATCCCTTCTCCCTCTTCATCTAAAATCGAAAAAATCAAAATCAAAATTAAAATTGGAAAAAAAAAGAGGAAAATAAAAATAAAATGCCTGCTGCTGTTGCCTCAAAATCTATCACAGCCAGCCTAATCCCTAAATTCTATAATTCTCGTTACCAGAAGTTTTTATCTTATCCGCAAACACTAGCTCCCTTCATCAACAACGAGAAGAAGCGGAGAAAAACCCTAACGCTAGTTTCCTCAAAATTCTCCTCCTCATCTGCGGAGCTCTCAGCTATAGACGAGGAATGGCTGAAGAAGCTCCCAGAGAAGAAGAAGCCCCTCTATTCTCATAGCTTGCCGTGCATAGAGGCATGGCTGAAGAAATTAGGGTTTCGTCAGTCCAAAGAAGATCGAGCTGTATGGTTCGCTGAGATGCCGGAGTGGCATGCTCAGCTCTCCCTCGATGTCACTGATCTCTACATTCGGTAAAGTTTTCATCTATATGCCCTTTTGTTGCGAATGTTTATCAATTTTCTATGATGCAAATTTTGATGCTGAGGGAGTAGTGGTATCGGAGCCTGGTTTAGGGTGCTTAGATCTATTTATTGTATGCTCTGTGGCTACCATCAAAGATGATTCTCCACATTAGAAAATAAATTAGATTATTATTTACCATTTAAAGGCATTGAGCACCATTCATGAGTATAGCACTATTTATAAATACGGTTACTATTTATGAGTATGATTACTGTTTATAAGTACGATTACTGTTCACATAAAAATAGTAGAAGTTGCAACTCATGATAGAAGTAAAGCGGTCAGGGACCGGATCTATCCTACAATGATCTTATCGGCATTCTTGAAGGCCAAAGTTTGTGCTTGGTCCGGGACTGTGAAGTTGATGGGTCAGTGATCAAACTTGCATGGAAATATTGAATCAGTACCATGTCATGATGACGGATCTAGCCAGTACGATTACTACATTCAAGAAACTTAACGACAACTACAGATACTGGGAGATGTGTATGAAGTCCTATTTACAAGGAGAAGACCTCTGGGAGGTCATCGGGGGTGCCGAAACTACAACACATCGAGAAGCTGGCGAAGCACTAAAGAAGTGGAACATCAAAGTCGGTAAAGCTATGTATGTATTGAAGACGACGGTAAAAGAAGTTCTCGTAGACTACATGCGAGATGTTAGAACTCTGAAGGAGGCATGGGAGACACTCGCCACACTCCTCTCGAAAAGGAACGATGCTCGACTTTAGCTCTTTGAGAATCAACTGATGACCTTACAACAGAAGAATCTAACAATCAGTCAGTACTTCAAGCAAGTAAAATCAATATGTTTAGGCATCGCTCAACTAGATCCAGATTCCAATGTGAGGAGAATAATCAATCATGGTTTGATGTCGGAGTATCACGGGCCCGTCGCTGCTACACACGGCTGGCCGACTCAACCAACATTATTAGAGTTAGAGAGTTTGCTCGCTACACAGGAAACCCTAGCCAAATAAATGGCCGACGTTTTAATAAAATGTGAAAGTGAAGCACTCTTCAACAGTAAAGAGAGGGGCAAACCGAGAGGCTCGAGGAAAGAGGAGTATGGAAAGGTTGACTCAAGGAAACAGTCAGGATGGTCGTACACCGACAAAACACAACAGCATGAGGAGCAAGGTGATCGTCGAGCAAGGCAACCTGATGATAGCTGTTACAACTGTGGGAAGAAAAGACACTTCGTCAGAGATTGCCGCTACAAGATAAGACCTGCAGAGGGCAATGCTGCAACATTGCGCAGATGTCAAGATGATAATGAAGAATAGGATGCCTAAGCATCAGTGGCCATCATTGAAGATGTACCAGTTGACGAAGACGATGTTGTTGGTATGACACTAACCTCGATCGTAGAAGAATCTGGGTTCGCATTTGCAACGGTTTCAGATCGAAAAAATCAGCTATAATAAAGATCGGATCATTGATTCTGACTGTTCCAACCACATGACGTGAGACAAGGAGAAACTCGTCAACATGAAGGTGTATAAAGGCGGCCGAGAGATTGTGATAACGAATAATTTATGATTACCTATCACACACATCGGAAATCGGAAAGACTGTGTTTACGTTACGTTACAATCCGAATCGGATACAACTACAAGATGCATATTATGCATCGGTATGAAAAAGAATCTTCTATCTGTTCCCCAATTGACAGCTTTAGGAAACTATATAGTATTTGGGCCACAAAATATAAAAGTCTATTGAAATTTAAAGTCATCAGGAGAACCTATCATGGAGGGACGGAATGTGGAATTTATCTATGTGATGTCAACGGAATCGACATATATAGATAAAGCCAGAAAGAATGAGACGGTTGAGTCATGACATGCTCGGTTTGGTCATGTAAGCTATCACAAGCTCAAGATTATGATGGAAAAGTCAATGCCGAAGGGTCTTCCATACTTGAAGATTCGAGAAGGGACCATATGCGAATGTTGCCAGTATGGTGAAGCGCATCAATTATCACCTCAGGAGTCTTAGTTTAGAGTTGAGGAACCTTTGGAGCTTGTACACTCAGATGTATTCAGTCGAGTGAAGCAAGAATCAATCGGTGGGATGCAGTACATGATCATCTTTATCAATGATTACTCGAGATATGTTTGGTTTTATTTCCTAAAGGAAAAGTCTGAAGCACTTTCCAAATTTAAGCAATTCTGAGAAGAAGTCAAATGAGAACTCCGCAAGAAGATTCATTATCTACGCACAGACAATGGGGGAGAGTTCACATCAAATGAGTTTTATGACTACCTGAAGTAGTAGAATATTCGGCGATAGCTAACGTGCTCAAATACTCCGCAACAAAATGACGTAGCAGAAAGAAAGAATCATCATCTCGTCAAAACTTGCAGAAACATGCTTTATGCTGAGAATGTGACATGATATTTTTGGGCTGAGTGTATGAAGACTCTGCGACGCATGTGATCAATCGGCTACTACAACCAAAATTAGAGTTCATATCACCATTTCAGAAGTTGTGGAATATCAACCCAATCGTAAACCATTTCAGAGTTTTCAGTTGTGTATGTTATAGCTTCGTGCGTGATCACCTTCACAGCAAGTTCGACAAAAAGGCTGTAAGGTGTATTTTTGTGAGGTATGACAGTGAAAGATAACGATGGAGATGTTGTGGTCCCACAAGTGGACCATGTTATATATCAAAGAATGTTATATTTGACGAAGCCTCATCTTAGTGGGCTTCACAAGAGGTTGCGCTATCAGATTCTAAAGATCTGAAATATTGGCTACAAGAAAAGTTAGGGGGAGCGAAGTCAAGGAGAAGGCCTACGTCAGTCAGAGAAGAAAGAATCAAGCTCTTTAACATCCTCAAAGGAGAATCATTTATGGAAGACTGGTGTTTATCAGACAACACGAGAAGAAGTGTGCCCAAGCCAAATAAAGGATATTGACGAAGAACCAGTTGAACAACTTTGAATATCAATAAGATCCAGAAAGCCAAATCTTAAGTATGCTAATGCTGTCATTATGAAAGATGTGAATGAGTCATCTAGCTCTGCTAAAACATACAAAATTGCTGAATGGAGACGAGCAATGGAGGAAGAAATTTAAGCTCTATAGCAGAACCAAACTTGGGAGTTTGTGTCAAAGCCCAAAAATATCAAATATATCTCCTGCAAATTGGTTTACAAGGTCAAGACTTGACTGGATGGGTCGATTGAGATACAAAACACGCTTGGTGGCTTGAGGATTCTCCTAACAGTATGGATTGGATTACGATAAGACATTCAGTCCAGTTATTAAGGTAACAACAGTTCGTATTCTTCTAGCTCTACTAGCCAGTAAGAGTTGAAAGTTTTGGCAGATGGACATAAAGAATGCATTTCTACACGGTGAGGTGGATCGAGAGATTTACATGGAGCAACCTATCGGATTTGAGAGCAAGGAGAAGGAAGATATGTTTGCAAACTAAAGAAACCTCTCTACAGAGTGAAGCAAGCTTCGAGAGCTTGGTATAGCAAGATTGGTGAGTTTTTAATTCAAAATGGATACTCTCTTGCTCCTGCAGATTCTAGTTTATTTGTCAAACAAACTGACAATAGGCTAGCAATCGTGTTGGTCTATGTGGATGACATAATCCTAACTGGAGACAATGAAGCGGAAATCCAAAGAACGAGAACAAATCTCTTGGTCAGGTTTCAAATGAAGGAGTTTGGGGAGCTCAAACATTTCCTCGGATTAGAGGTCAACTAAAGGAAGGATGGAATATTCCTTGGCCAAGAAAATATGTGAAAGACATGTTGCTGAAGTACGGGATGTTCAACTGCAAGTCAATATCAACACTGATGGAGACAAATCTAAGACTATGTGCACATGAAGGAAAAAATTTGAAAGATCCAACTATGTATCGACAACTAGTTGGAAGTTTGATCTATCTAACGATGATAAGATCAGATATTTTATTTGTAGTTGGTGTGATGAGCTGATACATGCAGAAGCCATAGAAGCCTCATTTAGAAGCAATGCGAAGGATCCTAAGATACGTCAAGAGTACAATTAACTATGGTTTTATGTATAAGAAATGAGAAGAATGTAAGGTCTGTGCTATTGTGATGTTGACTATGCTGGAGATTATGACACTCGAAGATCTACTACTAGATACGTGTTTAGTCTCGGTTCAACAGCTATATCTGTTGAATTTAGAGTAGTAGTGGACACTAAGAAATATTTTGTTATTATTTTTTTAGTGGTACAAACATTCAATACTCTCAAATACAAATACTCTCTACTACAAACTACTACTAAATTCTTTTACAACACACAACTATTTCACTTTCTCTTCTTTTTATTTCTCTCATTCTTTCTTTGCTACTAGGATGATCTCAAACAAATATTTAGGGGTTATTTATAACATTGGTTTAAGGGTAGGTAAATACTACTAGTTTTAGGTGATTACTATTAGGGGTGGGTGTTACTGTAGCTAGGTATGTGGGGGTAGATGAGTGAAAATGAAGCTGCTGACTTTTAACAATAGCTTGGTGTAGCAAAATATAGTTAACGGTGTTACTGTTAACTACAGAGGTGAGGTATAGATCAGCAGTGATGGCAACTCAGGAAAGCACGTGGTTTTTTCAGTTAATGAGAGATTTACATTAGTCCACAGACTACTTAGTAGCTTTACATTGCTATAATCAGTCTGCAATACGATTAGCAGATAATCCAGTTTTTTATGCTAGGACGAAGCACATCGAAGTACATCATTACTTTTTATGAGAGAGTTCTTCATGAGGAGATCGTAGTGAAGCCAATTGGAACAAATGAACAAATACCTGATATATTCACCAAATCACTGAGTACTTCAAAGTTTGCAGAATTTTGAAGTTAGTTTGTAATCGTGGACAGAGAAGTCGCTGCTGAGGGTGAGTGTTAAAAGTCAGCAGCTTTATTTTTACTCATTTATCCTTCCACCTACCTAGCTATAGTAATGCCTACCTCTAATAGTAATCACCTAAGCCTAATAGTATTACATATTCCTAAACCAATGTTATAAATAACCCCCTAAATATTTGTTTGAGATCATCCCAGTAGCAAAGAAAGAAAGAGGGGGGGGGGGGGGAAGGAATCAAGAGAGGAAGAGAGAGAGTAGGTGAAATAGTAGTGTGTTGTAAAAGAATTTAGTAGTAGTTTGTAGTGGAGAGAGTATGTATATTTGAGAGTATTGAGTGTTTGTACCACTAAAGAAATAATAACAAAATATTTCTTAGTGTTCATCACTCTTCTAAATTCAACAGAAGTTAATTTTTGTAGGCTACATTTTTTATGAATGTTCACTGTAACGTTGTTCTTTCGGCAAATTAACATCCAGAAAGAACTCTAAATCAGCAAATCAAATAATATTAACTTGCTGACAGAATATAGGGTTACCCGTGAAATACGATTAGGCATTAGCAATCTTAGGGTTACCTGTATAGGTACGCAGACTTTAGGGTCAATCGCATAGTTGCACCATACCTCAGGGTACCTGGTACGAAAATGTAATTAATTCTTCTTCTTTTTTATATCGTTCAAGCTAAATTTAAGATTAAATCAAGGATTCAAATATGACTGGAGTTCTTGAAAATGTTCAGTATTGATTTGTGTCAATTTTTAGCTACAGAACTTCAAAACTTGAATGGAAAGAAAGGCAAGAATTATGAATCTTCAAATAAAGTGTTTTGGGTCGCTTAAGCAAATCTGGATAGACTATAGATGAATTTGATTGTGGAAGCAGATCATCAGCGGTTAGTTCCATTATGAGTGAAACAGGTATTGCTCCCTTTTGGTGGTCATAATATAGCACCGTCCAAGAAAAACAAATGCAACAGAGATGAAACACGCTAAATCTGCGGTAGGAAGACTCGTCAATGTTGTAGTTCGGAGAGAATTGAGGGATAAAATCCCGTGAGAGTAGTTGGTTGGAAGATATGATCCTTTATACTTTGTTTTCCATTTTTCCCGAGGACAATTGGCTCGAATTTATGCTCATATATGGTACTTTGGTATCCTGTTTTGGTGAATATCAACCTTGGGTCTAGCGTAATTGGAATTTTTCCCATCATCACCAACGGGAGGGACAAAAATGCAGAATGGTGCAGCATTTCCAAATCATGATTGAATTAAAAACTCTTCATTATGTTTTAAGAGAGCTACATTCAATGGCTACTTCTATGTCGTGATAAAAATATCTGAGTTCATGTTGTTGATGACACGTAAGGTTGAGCAGTGGATCATCAACCCTAAGGGTGCCTCGGTTGGATGCTACTAAGAACATGAGATCAATCATATCCTTGTACTCATGGAGGGAGAGCCATCAGCTTACAATTTTATGCATTTACAAACCGCTGCAACTATTTTATCTGCATTTGTACAGGATGCAGATAGCATTTAAATGAACTAAATCTTGATTTTGTTGTTGTTTTCTTTGAGATCAGATGTTCAACGTATGATATAATAATGCAATTCATATCTAATTTCATGGAACATTAGTATTTTGTCTCCATTTAAAAATAATGCTATTTAGATCAGTATTTTCCATCTGAAGTATAAAGAATTATGGTGGCTTTTTTATGACGATCTGCATAATTAGGTTTCCAATTTTGAAGCTGAACTGATTTTGTTTGATGGGGCTGATAACCAGGTACCTGAAGAGTGGACCAGGTGACCTTGAGAAGGATGTGGAAAGGAGATTCAGCTATGCATTGAGCAGGGAAGATATTGAAAATGCTATCCTGGGAGGGCCATAAAATTACAAGCATTACGTATGTTACTTTCAGTGGGAGGAAAGATATTGGTTGTTTCTCATCCTTATGCCATGAACAAGGAGCTTTGTTTTGTATATTTCATTCTGTTGAAAAGCTTTTTGTGTATTAGGTTGATTTCAGTTTGCATCTATCAGGAACAAACTTATGATCAAAGCAATCATATAATGGAATGCAAAGTATCGATCTCATGCATTATTGATGATCAAAATTGTTGTATATGTTGAGAGACTAGGTTTACGTCTCAAAAGTTTAAATTGGTTTTTATTTCAGTATAGAGAGTCCAGTTCATGAACTGACTAGCCCACAGTACATTGTGGAGTCCCTTGAAACCCAAGCTCTTTTTCTGGAAAATGGAATTCTTTCCTTTAGCTTCCACTTGCAGGTGCGCATTTTTCCTTTCTAAATTCTTTTTGTACTCGTATGTTCTTCACCACGAAACACTATGGATCAGTCTAAGCAGCTTTCGAACTTTACCGAGATAGAGGCAGACAATGAACATCGATTGATTAGAAATTTACCCTATCAACGCTAAATGACAGAGAATCTCTGTTGTAAAATATGAATCTTCCATTGTACTGCCTTCTGTGTCCCTATTGAAAATGATCGTGAAACATTGACATGCATGGTGTTAAAAAAAAAGACTTTGCATCTAGCCACAATGCCGTAAACAAATTTGGTTGTAGTATTTGTGTAAAGCATTCAGAAGGTTAACTTCATTTTAATGTTTCTTCTGTGACTACTGAAGATGTTTATCAACAGTAAATAGAGATTATCATGTTAAAGTTGTGATGTCCCGAAATGATCCCGTGTTTGTTATATCATTGCACCAAATTTTACCATTGACAAAGCTAACTATCACTAGGATGACTGTAGATGAATTAGTTCTCTACACCCATGGGGAAGGAAAATAATTCAATATAATTCAGGCAAAGCAGAAAACAAGGGAGTGAAAAAAAATAAAGCCAAAGCAGAACAAGCTCCATATGCATGAAGCTAGCTAAGAATAAGTAACAAATGCCAGCACACACTCAAAACAGTGATGGATAAACTCATTAACAAGAAATGTTGTCCAAAGAAAATAGATATACTTCATAACTCCTAAGAAAGTGAATCTACAAGCACAAAGCTGAAGCTAAATTGCTTTCTATTTCCAGTGCATGATGCCTGAGATGCGCTCGGTGTGATTTTTGAACCAGACTAGATATCTCCACTAATTTACTATACCAATTTATAAGATAAGATAGAAGCTGGAGTCCTTCCTGTTGAACTTTTGAAACCCTTACAGGTGTGAGAATATTAACATCAAAACTGGATATATTTTTCTGTTTATAACATAGAATCTGGACTCCTTCCTTTTTAACCTTTGAAATCCCTATCAGTGTGAGAATAGTAATACCAAAACTGGATATATTCTTCTGTTGACAGCTCTTACTGTTATTCAGCGGGTTTGTGAACATCCGAAGCTGCAGTGTGCGACCAATATTCTTTAACAAGTTCTCCAAACAATGATCCCTCTCTTTTCATCAGTTTCATCGGTCTGTCATACTCCACCAATTTCCCTGAAAGAAAAAGGAACAGTCTCTCATAAGATGAAAAACACCAGATTCCCAGTTATTCACTTAGATAGGGAATTGTAGATTATCTGTTTTTATTTCATGCTAGTTTGTAATCTCATTAGCACCCTCATGAAAAATGAGGTTTTCATCCAACAGAGTGGATTAAAAACACAATCAGAAATTCTGTGAAAAGAGATGTTCATGGACAAAACATAGACTAAGAGGAAGCTTCTCTGTCAGAACTCTCATCATAACAGGAAGCTTCTCTGACAGAAGACAAACATAGGTGGCAGTAGTGACCACCTTAAAAGAAAAAGAAATTGAAATTGTAAAACGAGTGTCAAACGTGAAGAAAGGGGATAAAGTTCTTTACGAGGCTACAAAACTTCATGCATGAAATCTGAAAAATGCTACCAAGTATTTGCAGAGAGAAATAAGGGTTTGGAGGTTCTCACCATCACTGATAGCAAGCACCTTTGTGCAGTCCATTACAGTTGGGATCCTATGGGCCACCGTTATTACAGTGCAATCTGCAAATTCTTTTCTTATAGTTTTCTGAAGAATGGCATCTGTTGAATTATCAATTGATGCTGTGGCTTCATCAAGTACTAATATACGATTTCTCCTTAACAGAGCACGCCCCAAGCAAAACAACTGCCTCTGCCCCATACTCCAGTTCAATCCATCTTCAACAACTATAAGATTGTAAGAACAAAATAAAACTTCATAAATGGGTTGATCTAATGCAATTAAAGTACTTTAAATTGGTATACACTCCAGATCCTTACCAGGTGAGTCCAGACCCAGTTCTTTCTCTTGAACAGCTTCTCGAAGTTGACATTTTTCAAGCACCTGAAAGGGGAAAAAAAGATCAAGTCATCAAAGTAGACTATGGAAAGTGTGACAAAAAAGTGAATTTTTTAAGGAGACCAAGAGAAAACTTCATGATCTTCCTTGTTTTAGAATTTATAGAGGTGTGGTTGGTGAAGTGGTGAGGATGGGTCGTGGATATCTGGACTAGCCTTTTTTTTTTTTTTTGGCTCAGCAACCCACCTTGTTGAAAAAAATGGAAAGACAAGTCTCTTGAAGGTCTATAAGCAGGTAAAATAGGATCTTCTGGAGGGCAGAATAGCAAAGAAGATTACAACTTACAAGATATTGAATTCTAGGAAGATTATAGCAATGGGTTGTTACATTTGTTTTTTCACCACAATCTCTCAATTGCCTATTGCTAGTATTGGAGTCGGACAGTGTTACTGTGATAGCCATTCATCTCTTTCCTAAGCCTCCCCAGCAAAACAAATGGGTATTATGATATGAAATGGCTTCTTGTATATCCCTCCACATATTTCTCTAGAAAATGAAAAAAAGGGAAGCAATTTTTTTTGCAACATGAAAGTTAGAAGATGCCCTCATTAAGTAAAGCCTTCAACATACCAAATTCATAGTTGTTTTACATGAATTCATCAAGTTTTACCAAATCCTTCTATTTAGCAAAATCCTAGATGATGGAAAACTAATGAGAAAGCTAGAATGATGCCATTACCACTTTCAGAATAGTAAAGACTTTCTAACAGAACCGTAGATTAGTAATATCTTATACTCTTTGATACCTTTTGCCCCACAATAAGAAAACATTACCTCCCATACTTGCAGATCAGTATGGTGCCCTAAAGGATCCAGATTGTATCTGACGGATCCATGGAAAAGGGTCGGATCTTGAGGTATGATTCCAAAACGAGATCTCAAGTCATGGAGTCCAATTGTGGCAATATTAAGACCATCAATAATTATTTTCCCTCCTGCTGGCTCAACTAGGCGAAACAAAGCACCTATTAGAGTTGTTTTCCCACTTCCAGTCCGACCAACTATCCCAATTTTGTGCCCTCCTTCAAATATGCAACTGATTCCTCGGAGAACAAGGGGAGTATCTGGCCTATACCGGATCTGCTTGATTCAACTCTTGTGAGCATAAGGAAATTATAATCAATATATGAGCATTCTGAATGGACTGAATAAAGTTCTACCTTCAAGTCGCGGAGCTCCACTTTACCAACAGAAGGCCAGTTGGGTGGTGGCCTGTTGCCTCTGATGACCTCTGGGGCCTCACTTGGTACATTCATATACTGATTCAGCCTTTCCACAGAGATGATGTAGTTGGCAAGTGTGCATTGATTTTGGATGGAGAAAACAAGGGACATGTTTAATGAAAAACCATATGACAAGGCCATTCCAACAAATCCTGCATCAAAAGCGTTGTGAATAGTTCATGTCATTAGGGTCCAGATAAACAATGAAACTTGAATTTGCAAAATAATAAAGGGCATCAAGTACATGAATATGTATATACACACATACATGTAATTGTTTCTAGACTTGGTTTCTTAATATGCTCAAATATACACAACAGAAGCATCTAAGTGACTGGCACCAGTCAGTCACCTACAAAGTAAATGCTACCTTTATCCCTTATAAGGATATTTGAAATTCAAATCAGTTAGAACAGCCCAAATTGTTAAATTCACAATATTGTCAACGATAAGTCAAGTACGTGAATGTAAAAAAACATACAATACATATGCATGCCTCGTTAGCAAACTAGATGCATTCCAAATATATTTCTCCATTGTGCAAGCATCCCTGAGACCAACATCTTTACTAGCAGGCACTCGCATAGAAGTTAACGCATGCCCGCACGCGCACACATGCACACCCGCACACCCACCCATGCACACACCATGAAGAGGTTATTACATATCCTTTATGAAAATGCAAGAGTAACCAGGTGAATACAAAACAGAAACACGACATCATAAGGACTAGCACAAAATTTAGATACTGGCTGACACAAAGGAGACTGCAAGAAATGCACCTGAGCTAAAAGTGCCAGGAGGAAGAAGGGCCATAACAAGGGCTGATGTTGAAAGAACAGCGGCACCCATAGTCTCTCCAAATTCTTAGCAAAAAACCGATCCTCTTCCTCAAAAGCTCTGATTGTTACTGCTCCTGCAACAGATTCAGCTAAATGATTTGCCACAAGGGATTTTGTAGTGCCATTGATCCGCATCAACTCCTTTGAAGTAGCTAAATAGTAGGCCTACGTATTTTGAAGAATAGAGAGGAATAGCTACTAATAAGAAGAAGAAACAAAGATCAAAGAAAACACTAACAAGAGAAATTGCAGAGTTGTACATTACCTGCAATCTAATGATAAGGTAAATCATTGGTACAGAAACAAATAGAACTTGCCAGGTAATAATAGCCAATATCCCAAGGTTGCTATACACATTTAAAGTAGCACTGATGCTAAAAATTAAACTAAATGGCACATCAAGGTCGACGATGCTCAGATCTGAGGAGACCTGCAGTAAGAAGATTAAACTAAGGAACATAAATTACTCGAAACTTGTCAAAATTTTAATAGAAATACATACCCGACTTAGTATCCTCCCCAGAGGAGTGGAATCAAAGAATGACATTGGAGCACGGAAGAGTGAATTAAGCAGGTCAGAGAACAAGGATTTTGATGACTGGAGACCTAAAACAACGATGAATAGAGATCTAGATAACAAGAATATGGCTGTACTGCACCCAATTGCCAAGTAGACTGTGATGAGTCGTAGTGTGCTCACATCAGGATTTTGAACATTGGCGGCCATCCATGAGTTTTGGGAGATCTGTCCAGCTATGAATATCACATGAGAAAGAGCTGCTAGAGAAGAATACAAGAAGCCTTTATTTTGATTTAGGTACTGCAGGTATGGCTTTAGACCATTATTCCCTGACTCCCTCTCCTCTTTCTTGATCAATTGATCCTCTGCTGAAGATTGAGTGGTTCTCTGCGGATCAATACTGTGGGTTCGCTTTATCTCCTCTGTAGACACCTCACTTGTTTCATGAGAGACCATCTTTTCAATTCCTTCAGCACAAACAGTGTCTTTATGAGCATGGACCAGTTCCTGGAACTCTTTGCTAGACACTAGGAGTTCCTGATAGGGAGCAGCTCGAAGAATTTCACCATCTGACATCAACTGTAGAAAGAAGTATTCGTTACAGGCAGCATCCTCAGTATAAAAAATCAAATCATTTTTACATTATAACATAGTAAAGGAGTCACTGGTATACAACAGATAGAGGTATCAAGTGGCATACAACAGATAGAGGTATCAAGATCTGATCTTGAATGAGACATGAAATAAATAGTTGGCTGAACTTCTTCTAATCATTGGGAGCTCCTACAAGTAAAACTGATTCTCTTTGCATTTTCTACTCATAAACTGATAGTCTACATGGCCACTCTTATTGAAATCTATCTATCAGAATTTCACTCTAATTGTTATGAATCGTCTGAGTTAAATTTAATTTTGACGACCAACAAGATACACCATTAGTAACCAAATATATATGCTTCAAAAATCAAGCTTAACATGATTAAGCTGCATATAAAATCACAATTTTAAGCATAGATCATGATTTCAAACATGGTTTGTCTATGACTTGAATTGTTTTTAGCAGATTCTAACACAAGATATTCATGAACAGACCACTCAGTTGAACATCCCTCAATGGGATCATAATATAATGTCCCCATCAATGAGTTAGACAGTGCCAACTCAGACTGGTAGCAGTTGATTATAAATATATCGCCCAATTCTAAATGGGTGGTTTGATTACATGCGGAAATGTAAATATGGTTAAGTAGGTTAAATAACTTATACAGAAACCACAGTTCATATAGTTTGATAGACTATAGAACATTTGCAATAAGCTAGAGATAAACATGAAAAGCAAGCAGGAAGAACAGAAAATGGACAGTGTTAAGCTGCTAACCAGAATTGAATCAAATGCTGGAAGAAAATCCACTTGATGGGTGACTAGTAGCACTGTCTTTTCGGAAAGAGCTCCCATTACATATTCCTGTGTTCACAACATAAGTGAACTCATTGTATAGATAAGATGCATGGAAAATTGTGAAAAATAAGGCGTAGAGAATTAAAGCCATTACATTGAATAAGCTGGTTGCAGTATGAGCATCAACAGCACTAAAAGGATCATCTAGAAGATACATATCGGCATCTTGATACAATGCACGAGCAAGTTGGATGCGCTGCTTCTGTCCACCACTGAGATTTACCCCTCTTTCTCCTATTTCAGTAAGATCTCCAAATGGTAGCATCTCAAGGTCCTTTACTAATGAACACTTATCTAGGGTTTCTCGGTACCTTTGGGTATCCATTATAGATCCAAATAGAATATTCTCTTGCACGGTACCAGTCTGGATCCATGCATTTTGAGATACATATGCAAGCTTTCCAAAAACTTGAATCTGCGATTGAAAATTAAGGAATCTTGTTAGTAGTAAATACTTGGCATGATATTTGGAGATTGTAGGAGAAAGATGCACACAGTTGATAAAATTAGTGAATTATACCACAGTATAATCTTAATCATAGTAATATGTGAAAAGACAAATTGATTTTCTATCAAGGATTAGAGAAATGTTTGACTGAAAGGGGGTAGTATAAGGATGCAGTCAGTTGCTTTCGTTCATTGACCATGATTGGTTGTACCTCTTCAATCTCAATGCTACAAACTTCTAAGTCCAAAAATTTCTTCATGACTGTTTGCTTAAAAAAGACCGGGGTAGTACAAGGAAATAGTGCCATAATTTAAAGAGCTAAATATAAGCCATCTAACCCTGGTCTCAATATCTTCTAACTTCTCCAAAACGATGACAATGATAATAATAAGTTAACTGTGCAAAGTGTAGAATCGTCTTTCTGGAGTAAGTATCTTAACTTATTCATTTAATTTTTTTTAAAGAAAAGAACCCTAGCATATTATGTTTGACTTTCATGCATAAGCATATTCTAAGAGCTCACCAAACTTAAGAAAAGAATGAGAAGGACTTACTGTGCCTTCTGTACTTGGGATCTCCCCGAGGATTGCAGCCAAAAGAGTAGACTTCCCTGAACCAACTTCTCCACATATGGCCACCTTCTTCCCAGATTTCAGTTCCAAGCTTATATTCTTCAGTGTTGGCTTTGACGGATTCCCTTCCCATGAAAAGTTTGCTGACTTAATCATGAGTGGGTGCTCAATGTTCATAGTGGTCTTACCTCTGATAATCCCAGTATGCAGCTCAGCAGCATCAAGAAACCTGACTATTCTACCGAATGCAACCTTTGCTTGAATAAAGGCTCCAATAACATCAGGGATCGATCTAACAGGATCTTGTACAAGACGTAATGTTGCTACAAATGTGAAGACATTGCTAGGATAAAGAGGGATCTCAAGAAGATAGCAAGTCAAGAAGGTGGCAGCCGAAACCAAGACAGGGGACGACCAGAAAAGGAAGCTGTTGTAGGCTCGTTGCATTTGAAACGCTGAAAGCCAAGTACATTCTTCTCCCCTCAACCCTTCTATCACTTTCCTGAAATGATTTTCCCAAGCATAAAGCTTTAGCACCTTCATATTTACCAGAGCTTCTGACATAGCCTTCAGCCTCATATCCTGAGCTTCCATAAGCCTTGTCTGGAACTTATGTTGTAGTTTTGCCACAGGAGCATTGCAGAGCACCGTTGCTATAATAACCACCATGGATGAGATTGTTGCTAGGCCAACAGCATGATAGAGAATTACCAAAGCAATTCCAAGTTGGAGGATTATAGTCCAAGTTTGGTGAAACCAAACAGGGAACTCTCCAATCCTATAAGCATCAACAGTCACATAGTTCATGATCTCTCCAGAAGAATGGATCAATTTAGCAGAGCTCGACAACCTCAGTTGCTTCTGATACACAGCAGCTGATAGTAAGGACCGGATTTGAAGGCCTAGAGTCCTTGTCCTGAAATACCACTGCCTTTGAGACAATGACTCAAGAAACTTCACCAAGAACATCCCCAGTGCCAGCACATAACCTTCATTTTTAAAAGTCCCCAACCCTACCGAGACTTTAATGAATGCATTTAAAAGCATCGGTCCTGCAGAAAGGGTTAGTACTTTAAGCAATGCGAATAACCCAGAAACTAGAATTTCTTTTCTATGGCAATCAACTATTGTCCAGAAGAAGGATGGTGAAGTGATCAGATCATCCCTGCTTTGTCGGTCGATTCTCTCAAGAAATAAAGAGTAACGGCTTTCTGCTCGGTCAGTTGCACCCATCCGAGGAATATCCTTTTCATCAAGTGCCTTCTGATACCCTTTCTTCATCAAAGTGTTCAACCACCAAAATGACATTCGACTCAAGAATCCAGCATTCGCATAAGGAGTCACAAATCCGTCCAAATCATCTGGGCTGGTGATGGAATCACCAGTCAAAGGCACATAGAAAGAATGGTCGTTGCTTTCAGAATCCTCTTTAGCTCCTTTAAAGGCACAAAGAAGCAACAGAACAGCTCCAGGCAGTGATAAAACGTCTAGAATGATTCTAATTGAGGTTTTCTTTTCTATGAGAAGAGCTAAGACTGACGAAATGCAAAGGAATCCAGCACAGATACTAGCCAGCCCTGACCAGATCCTAATGAAGGCTTCGCCTACTTGTTTGGTTCTGATGCATACAACCAACCCCATGACCACCCAAGTCAAGCTCTGAGATAGCACCACCAACCACCAATGGAGAGGGAAAAGATCCTCCCCTCTCCTAAACTTCTCTTCCAACAGCCATAAACCAAGAGCAAGATAAGACAACCCTAAACAGATATTGAAGATTGCAGAAAATATTTGCAAGGGTGACATGGATCACAGTTGATGACAACTTGCGCACCACATTAATAAAGAAGGTTAAAAAGAGAAGAAAATTGATGGAGATGATGATGAAGTGGCTTGTGCAAGAATTGGAATAGAGGAACCCTCCAAAGTCACACTCATCTCCACCATAGTAGGAACAAATGGATCCTCCACAGAAAGCCATACGAGCACCTAGTTAAGATTCAAAAAATTTCAATAAAGACGTAAGAGTTAAAAAAAACGTCACAAGTCTTGAGATCAAGCTTACGTGTGAGTACATCCATTTTGTAGAAATGCAACGTCTCTCGGTTATCGAGTGTTGTCTAGTTTTAATAACTCAATCGATCAAATTCCTCTACTTTCTAAGACAGTTTAAACAAACAAGTTAAACAAACATATCATGAGAGACTATAACAAAGAAATCTGCACAAATCTCATAAATATTGACAAAAAATAGTGTATACCATTAACACCTTTATACTTTCCTAAAACAGTTGAACAATGTCATGGTTTTGTAGCTAGTACTAAGTTGGGAGACCTGAAATATTTACAACACCACAGAGGTCTCAGTTAGTGAGAAAAAAAAAAGAGTTGAATAAGGACCATCTACAAAGATATGACATAGTATACATGGCTAATTATCTGCGCTTTCATCACATTTAGCAAAGAAAGTTAACATCCTAAGTTTCACAAAAAAATGCATATCGAAAAAAATGCATATCGCATCTAACAAAATCAGGGTAATTCACCTTCCACGTCCATTATATCAATGAGTAGAAGCGAAATAATCTAAAAGAAATCTGCACTGATTTGGTGTGAACAATGAAACATAAACAATTAAAATACGACTTTTTTCATTATGTTACAATTCATAAATTAAGCAAACATTTTATAAGAGAAAACGGACCTCAGAGAAATATGAACGCATAATATAATATTGATAAAAAGAGGGTTAATTTGTCACCATTAACACCATAATATTTTCTGAAAACATGGTCGATAACTTGTGATCTTGGAGCCGATTTTATATTCGAAAACCTGAAATCGGAGATCTCAAGTAATACAGCTTCAAAAGAAGTAGGACGGGTAAACTGAACCAAATAATATCTTATAAAACATGTCAAAAAAAGTTTATCTACATTGTTTCATAAATTGAGCAACAAACGCGAACATAGCAAGATCACATTCCATTATACCAATGATTCTAGTTCATCTAAGAGAAATATGCACTGACATTATGTTCACATGACCGAAAATTATCGCAATTACACATCAATATTTAGAGAAAAAGTGAACACTGATACAATGACTCTTGATCACGAAAGAAGTCCTAAATAATGTTTCAAAAGATGCTAAATTTTGTAATTAAACAGGCTAAAACCGCATATTATTAAAAATAAATCTGAAATTACAAAAACAAAAAAAAAAAAGTAAGACTCACCTAGAAATTCGAAGTAGTGATTTTGGAGTGAAAGTAGGGTTTCTTGAAATAAGAAGAGCTCCGTAAGTTCCCAGGAAGCAACTGGGAAATGAAATGGGACGAAGAGGAGAAGAAGAATAAGTATAAGGGGGAGGACAAGAAATGCGCGAAAACTGAGATCCTCGTGCGCGGTAATTCTAACGGCGAGCACGGGCGGTGACTGTATCCCTCTCATCTTCTTCTTCTTTCGAAAGAAGCAGGACAACAGGAGAGGGGGCGCGGTAAGCTCACCGCTGATATAGGGGCTAGCTTTGGCTGGCTGTTCAGTACCGGCATTCCAGCATGAGCGTTTTGTCGGAAAAAATTGGAAGAGGACAGAGGAAGCGGGTCGGGCGCAGATAAAGGCCCATTAGGCTAGGTTTTAATTTTAATTTTTAAGGCCCGTTTGATTGTCCAAGAAAAAAAAAGTAGGAAACCGTGTGTTTTTCTGCTTTAGGGTGTGTTTGGATTTCAATGGGATTAAGGGAAGTTAAGAGAATTATGTGAGAGAATGGAATGGAAGGGAAATGAGTTCCCTTCTCCTTGGTTACACCCCAATTTGGGGTTAACAAATTTTATACTATTACGGGATGAACAAAGGGGAACTAGAGTAAATAATTTCACCTCCTAAATATTCTCAAACAAAGTGAATGGTTCTCCTAACTTCCCTTCACCCTTATTCCCCTCAATCCAAACAAGCCCTTAAGTTTGGTTTTTAGGGACGATGGTTCGGAAAATATAGGTATTTTATTTATAGCAGAAACCGTTCGACTTGTATCGGGATAGTTTTGCTATGATTCATATTCTTCACTTTCGGACACCTATTTCAGAGGGTTTTTCCAATTTCTTATATACATGCTATCTAAGATTACGCGCTCTGATCGGATCAAGAAAGTTTAAATGGATACTTGTGATTTATTCTGAATGTACGAATGTTCATCTCTCCTTGAATTACACTCATTTACACTCTTTACTCTTTTGTTGGGGGACTGATTGTCGGCTTCTGGGGTTCTTTTTCAGTTTTTTTAATGAAAAATTTCCTAGGAGTTAGATGGATGTTTAATAGAAATTGAAAACCAAATAACCCTTAAAAAAAGTAAAACGGTTAGATACCGGCTTCGATTTTCTATTTAAATTCAATGTGGAACTACACTTCTCACTAAAAAAGAAACGGTTGTAATCTTGTTGTTATATCTACATACATCACATATTATAAGTAAGAATCAAACATGAAATGTAAGAGTAAATAAATAGAGAAGAGAAAAGATAGGGAGAAAGTGATCATCTCATTTTATTCATCTTCTATTTCTCCATACATTTTGTCTTCCATGGCTTACATTATATAGATGTGGAAGAGAATACTAAAAGTCACAAGTAGGTGAAGAAACTTCTTCTATTAATGTCCACATTCATTTCATTTATATTTACAACACTCCCTCATGGACATTACTACATGATGTCAATGCCTCGTTAAAAACCTCGCCAGAAAAAGCCCAGTGGGAAAAACTAGTCGAGGAAAAGAGTACATGACATACATACATTATTTTTGTTACATCAGTTGTCTCGTTAAAAACCTTTCGCTAAGAAAAACCATGTAGGACAAAAACTTAGCAAAGGAAAAAAGAGTACAACTTTAGATCTTCGGGATCCAAACTTATGTTGAATTAGCTGCCTCGTTAAAAACCTTTGGCTAAGAAAACCCAGTGGGACAAAAACTTAGCTAAGGAAAAAAGAGTACATCCACCGCCTTCGAGGTTTGATCTTCAGGATTAATCTAAAAAATAATTCGCTCCCCCTTAAGACAACAAACATTCAAGTCTATGCATACCGTGGTGGTCAAACATGATACCATAAAATTAAAAGTTGATGTATTAAGGGATTTGATGATCAAATCGTCTAGATTGTCACTACTTAAAGCGAACTTATCTATGTTAATTTCATTGTTATTTTCGAGCGCAAGTAAATAAAAATTTTCCACATCTCATTTATGCAACACAAGTTACATTGTCCTTAGAAAAGACAGCGGGGGTAATATCCTCGTTTAATATGCCACACAATCATCGAGTGTTTTATCAGCGATTTGAACCTTACACGTTTGCATGGGGCACGTATAGAGGAACAATCTCTGAGTGGTTTCAACTAGTAAACGTTGTCTGCTTAATAGACCTCCAAGAAATAACAGTACCACTGCAGAGAAAAACATAACCAGAGATTTGGCAATATGGGGATCAGTCATATAACCAACATCAGAATAACCCACCAATGTCATGTTTTGATTTCTTTTATAGAATAAACAAAGATCTCTTAAAGATAACAGAGGATATATTTAACATTATTTCAATATCTCCTTTCAGGAGATGCACTAATTCTTGCTAGCATGTGTAACACAAATGCAATATCAGGCATGGTGCAATTTGTAAGATAAATAAGTGCTTCAATAGCGCGCTCAAATACGTGACTTCGGGTCCTAAAATATCTTTCTTTAGGTTTGTATGGGTCTTTATCCACTTCAAGGGATTTAACAACAATTGGTGTGCTAAGTGCATGGGATTTATTCATTTAAAATCTCTCCATGACCTTCTTCAAGTAGGTTGACTGGTATACCAATATTTCTTTAGGAACATGTTCGATCTGCAGGTCGAGATACTTGGTTTTTCCTAAGTTTTTTCATTTCAAAGTTCGTCTTTAGGCATGAGCTAGCTTCTGTAAGCTCCTTGTGCGTTCCAATAACATTTATATCATCAATATAGACTGAGATAATACAGAAGTTATTTTCAAATTTCTCTATAAACACACAAGGGCAGACATCATTATTTGCATATCTCCTCTTCAGGAGGAACTCACTCAGTCGGTTATACCATATTCTACCCGACTGTTTCAAGTCGTATAACGACCTTTGCAATTTAATGTTATACATGTCGTGATTCGCGTTTTCTCTCAATTCAGGAATTTTAAGTTCATCGGGGACTTTTATATAAAAATATTAGCGTCTAATGACACATATAAAAATATGGTCATGACGTACATATACTGCATATATAAATTCATAGTTTCTGCCATAGGTATTAACTTGCGGAACGTAATACAATCACTAATAGGAGAATATTTTGCATCTAAATCGATGTCGGGTCTCTGCGTGAACCCATTGAGCTATGAATCTCGCTTTATATCTCACCACCTCTAAATCGATGTCGGGTCTCTGCGTGAACCCATTGAGCTATGAATCTCGCTTTATATCTCACCACCTTGCAGTTCTTATTTATTTTTCTTACGAAGACCTATTTATATCCTGCAGGGATATATGGACTACAGGTTCAAAATACTTTAGCGAGTTCAGCTCAGCCTCAATTTCACTTTCCATCTCACCTAGTCCGAGTGCTTCAATCACTCTGCTATCGACTTAGGTTCTGGATCCACATTATTTTCGGAGATAGTAAGAGCAACTATAGAGACAACTATGTTGTCGATAACTTTTATATTTCTATTATATATTTCTCCTTTTTCACAAATTCGTGACAACTTTAATTCTTATTTTATGTCAACCAAATCCTCGTCATTTCTCTAAACAATTGGATTTGGCTGT